TGTTTTTTGAGTGTTTTTTGAGTGTTTTTTGAGTGTTTTTTGAGTCTTTTTTGAGTCTTTTTTGAGTGTTTTTTGAGTCTTTTTTTTTGTGGATTGCCCCGGAGTTTTGGGGTATTGGGTGTCGATGTTGAATGGAGGTATAGTAGATGCTCCGTCAGCGATGCGTGGGTATAAGCGCTCGTGCAGCAGTGATGAAAGGTAGGTTCGGGTGGAGAGGCCTCATCCAGTGAGAGATGCCCGGGAGGACGACTTTGAATCATTTTTTTCCAGAAACTTTTGGAAAGACAATTCTTACGTAAGGGAGCTTGCGGGTCATTCATTCAAATGTATCACTTACGTCCCATACGCATTATGTCATCCACTCATAAAGCAGGGGAAACCCTGGACTCAGCAAGAGGATAACATGAGGTTCAGTTTTCAAAAAGGGAGAAAGGGGAAGCCAGGGGCCCAGGCGTTCCGTGGCACTTCGCCACAAAAGTGGCATCTCTTCAAAGCCACAAACCATTCTGACCCGGTGGTCCTTTATTACTAGCGCGGGCAACCACCACCCTAGAATGAAAGAGATGAATTGGAGTAATGCAAATGGAAGTTCTTAACAGTTATCACATCTGCACCGAATTCAAGCATACGCCACATACTAGTGAAATAATCAAACGCTTCCCAAAGACTGATTGCCTGTTTCAGCTTGCGAAAGCATCTACATTTCACCTGTCAAAAATTCAACCCTCAACGATCTTCCACTCGGAAGAAATCCCACTGCAATGGCTTAACTCTCGATCTTGAGTTACTCCCAATATGAGAAGTCACCTCTAGCTCAAGTAAGCCTGACATCATATCACGTATGTCCTTCTGAATCTGTTGCTTTGTCATTGATTCGCGGGTATAGTCATCTGTCTAAATGCTATAAGATGACAATATCCCCCGCGAGTTGCTTCCTTGATTTTGGATGTTTGCAATAATTTAGCACTCATGCAATCAGGAAAACTACCTACTTGATCCTTATTGTGCTTCGAGAACAAGGAGGTCTCTGATAATAGACTCATGGAATACTCAAGCAAATACAACTGCAAGAATCTTCACTTGTATCCTCAGCCGAACGCCCTAAATTAAGAAGCTCCAATAGCTATTTTATAGAGTACCAAGTATCATCCTACACCACCGCTACTTCAATATCTTGTCGACATGTGGTATTTCAGCCAGCTACCTTCAAAGGCTAACTCTAACAAAATCATAAATAATTGCCCTGTTTTGTGTATAAAAACGTTTTTTGTTTAGTTATCAACTTTGAGGTATGCAATGAATTCTGAACATAAATCCTTGGGTAGTCTGTAGTCCTATGAGCGGAAAGCTTCCACATGAATCCTCAAAGCTGTCAGTTATTCCTCGGAATCTTCTCAAGTATTCCAGTGTCATGGTGCTTGGCTGTTCAATATTGCTTAAAGATTCACTTAGCTTTTGGAGGTGGATAGTTTAAATGCACCTTCTAAATCCACAGCTTCTAGTAGTGCGTTTTGCCAGCATTCAGAGTTTGAACCTTTAAATAACTTGCGTAGTGGTTTCCGACCATCCCAAAATACCTTTCATCGAGGGATTTAGGCTTGTAAATTTCAGAGTTTATGGAATCATGGCTAGTGTGGTGGTCGTAATCAAAGAAATTACAGCGTGCCTGGAAGCAACTTCGTCATCTGTCGTCATCTGTATTTTTGTATCACGCAGATCCACTCAGCTTGAGGACAGAAAATGGCCCTCAAGAGTGTAGCAACGTGAAAATATGATGAATTTATGGAAATAAGGCTGTTGTGATTGCTGCCAGAATCAAAGAATTTGTCGTGTGCTTGGAAGCAACGCATCACCTGTCCTCATCTGTATTTTGTATTACCCAGATCCGAGCACCCTTGAAGTCCAGATACTGGCTCTCAGAAGTACATCAATGGATCCGATCGAGCACAAGACTTTCTTCATCGTGCCCCATTGAAATGACACCACGACTGTGTTTAAGCGCAAGTGTTTGAATGTAATTTCCGCTTTTTAAAGTCCTCGAATATACACCCGGAAGTCCGGGTCATGTACAAGCAAAGATTGCTTTGCGCCGAATTTTGAACATGCTTCATGGCGGCTCCTTGGAGCGGCTTGTGCGTGAAAATGCGGACTATCTCATAGATTCGATGAGTATAAGTATCCTGGTGTCTAGTGGTCTCACGCCCTCGCTACCTGAAATTCTACTTGTAGTGGCCTGGAGTCGTTATTGCTGAATCGATCCCAGGATATTCTCAGCGAAATATTCATTGTCATCGACTCTTTTCATGGACACTCCTGGCTTGTGGAAAACTTCTTACAGTGTTCCCAGAGATTGTACTGTAGGTGATGGAATTGTACGGATCGCAATTGTAAGATAACACTAGGCTTCTCCTGGGTCAAACAAGCTCACCCAATAAGTCGAGGAGCTGGAGTAGCAGGGAAGAAATGCTCAGGCTTATTGACAAAGCCAATATAATAGTGGATCCTTTTGCTGACTACGATCCTGAAAAGGAATATTTCGTACGAAAGCCTGGCGTTCCTTCTCGAGATCAAATGGACAATTCTGATGACGAGAATGAAGAAGATATACCAGAAGAGCTTCGGCAAGACTCGCCAGAACCATGGCCCTCTCCAGAGCCAAAACGATTTATACATCAGCGCAACAGCTATTCACCCGTGGACTCCAGCTTTCGCCCTACCCTTCCATCAAGTTGCGGATCCTAATTTTGCATATCCTCAAAGACGCATACGTGATAATAAGCTCCAGTCACAAAATCGTGATGCCCATACTTACTCAATATTGGCCGCTTCTTCTTGTTATGAGTGCAGGTGCATTGAACGTATCTGAGAACACCCAAGAGACGCTACTGGTACAAACAAAGCAGCTAATTGCACCCACTTTGGAGCTAATGCTCGTGATATTTGATGAAGATAAAAAGCATGAAAAAATTATTTCAGGTCGGTTCCTTCAGAAATCTTGTCACTGCCCCAACCTACATCATCCGAGTCCCCCCAGAACTAATCAGCACAGATCAAACTCAAGCAACATTGATCTTCACAAATCTTCTTAAGCCCGCACAAATACCACCATGAAAACTCATGCAGTGATTGTCTGGTACAATCCCAAATCATCAACTTCACTGAATGGAAAACTCATCCAACTTCGTCTCCACGAAGACCCAACCTTAAAAAAAGCCAATCAGACGATTATGTATGGTATGAATCAATAAATCTAGTGTCATCGGAGGAATCAGTTTAAGAAATCTTTGATCCGTAAAGCAACGTGCCAATAAGTGACTTCGGGACAAGGTTGACGGTTGAGTATACAAGTGGTGATGAAGTATGCTGCGGACAAGCCCACGACACTAGTGATGGGATTTACAAGAACTAAATTCACACTTCAATGCAACATCAGCGAGAACTGGTACGTGCTGACGTATAATTCTATAAAGTCAGTGACGATGCAAGAGGGAAGACTGTATAAGGCAGAATGGTGGGGCGATACAATCCACCGTCTGCAACAACTGTGAGACATCCAAATAGTGGTAAGAATATAGTCCAGAAATTCGACAAAATGCACATAAGACAGCCGTCGTCTATTTTCATGTATGGGTCCTTGGGAATGGCCGTTTTTCTGTAGTAGAAACCATGAAGCGGTGAAATCTGCCGTATTGCAATAACAAGTTTTTATCCTCTTCTTTTTTTTCTTCTTCTTCTTCTTCTCCTTCTAATTGCATTGGTGAGTGGTCTGGAAGCTGCAGAACGAGATTACCGGTTAACGAAATACCGTGAGAAAGCGTTTTGGCCTTGTCTAACATGATCACGATATGCACCAATACATCTTCATTGTCCGCTTCTGACAAGAACTGACAAAACTAGATTGGTTCTTCACCACGATGTCCAAGGCATACTCAAAGACGTGGCGAGTCGCAGGAGGTACGCTCCTCGAGTCCGCTCCACTCATCCAAGATGAATTGACTTCAGGAGACTTCCAGCATTCGAGGACTTAATATCCAATGTGTAAAGAGAGCCAAGAGGACCGTCCAGGCCGTGACTAACGGAAGGGGGTAGCTGACACTAAATATTTGAAAGCTATTTAAATGTCTTTTATATATCGAGTTGATTTTGGCTCGTTCTATCAGATGAATGTACCAAAGAAGTGACAAGCTAAACGAAGTAGTAGAAGTTCATACTGATAATCATGTGAAATGCAGAACAAAGAATACAAGTCATAAATGGAAGGGTGACGTATCTTTGTGACAAAAATTTACAAGCCTTGTGCGAGCATGTTTCAAATAGCCATATCTTTCGATTCTTCTCCCTGCATGACAGTAATTTTCGAGGAAAATAATCTTTTCAGATCACGAATTTCTAAGTGATAGGCTCGGATGGGCCCAGTACCTATAGATTGTCATAGACAGAATAGTGAGCTGTGATCGCACGTATTAATTGTCTGATACCCCTTATCGTCAAGCTCTCCAAACGCAATAGAAGACCGAATATGTCCTCTTTCAATACTTCTGTCAACAGCTATAGCACAAATTGAAACCTGGAAAACCAAAAAGATTTATGTTTCCCGCAATGTGTCTTTGCTAAATAAGAGCACATACAGAAGCGTCTCGTCATGACATCACGGATATTAAGCATGGTCTTCAAGATATAGCCACCTAAAACCACAAGAGCTTTTTCCTTGCACTCTGTTTCACATCACATATATTTATACCTTAATCATCCAGAAGTATCAAGAATCCCACCTTCTCTCCTTTTTTTTTGCGTATCACCGCCAAAGAAATTATATGACGTAGGCCTTGACGGCCTGGGCCCGTGCATCCAACATTACTGTCGCTAGGTCGGCGATAGCACCTCCTACATATATACGCACTATGACCTAACGATACAGAACGAGACTTACGGAATTGAAGTCCATTCGCTTCTTCGCCGTGCACTACTACTTCTCTTCCCATCAGCTTGACACTTTTCTACTCCAGCAACATCCGCAAATCTAGCCACCTCAGAAAATGCCTCTCTTTTTCGACAAGTTTGTTCTTTTTGGCGACTCCATCACCGAGTACTCGAATAAGCAAGATGGGTTTGCTCTTGCCCCGGGGCTCCAGGATCTCTACTCTAGAAAAATGGATATTGTGACTCGTGGCTTCAGCGGATATAACACGGACCAGGGGCTTGTTGTGTTGCGTGAAGTCTTGAAAGCGGAAAACGCAATTCCAAATTCAGTGAAACTCATGTACATTTTCATGGGCACCAACGACGCCGCTTCCACGTTTCAGGGTGTTCCCGTGGATCGGTACAGACTGAATTTGAGCAGAATGGTGCAATTAGCCGCCAGCCAGGGAATCAAAGTGATTGTTGTTGGGCCTGCATTGCACGACCAAGCTTTGGTCAGTGAAATGAGAGAAGAAAGAGGAGAGCCAGAACAGGCCCACTTTTCTTCCAATGAAAACACGCGCAAATACGCCGACACGGCCCTGGAAGTGGCCGCAGAAAACGGCGTTCCGTTTGTGGACTTGTGGTCCGAGTTCCAAAAGTATGGTGAGTGGTCTACCGAAGATCTCCTAGCAAACAAGCCCGATTTGGCCGAGTTGCTCGTCGATGGGATCCACTATACACCCAAAGCATACGAGGTGTTTTACGATGCTTTGGTCGAAACCATCGTGAAACACTACCCGGATCTTGCTCGGCTGAGTCTAAAACTCAGGCTCCCTTACTACCGTGACGTGGACTATGGGAACATAGAAGAGTCACTCATGAAAAGTATGGAAGAGTGATGGCGTTCGCGTCTTGGAAGATATATTGCAGCTAGTGCAAAAACAACCTGGAGGTGTAATTTCCAGCATTGCTACATGCCAATAAGATGATCAATTTCAATTAATAGTTGAGATCTGACCCTCGTCAATAAATATATACCTACCCCTATACATCATTCTCTTTCCAAGAAATCCTCTGCCACAATGTTTGACTTGCTGCACATCTGCTGAAAGATGCTGTCCTTCAGAGTGAACAAATTCCACGGCGTATCAAACTCCTTGATCTCACCCTTATCCAACACAAGAATTCGATCATAGTGCAAGATGGTTTTCAAACGGTGGGCAATACACAAAATTGTGCAGTCCTCAAATTCACGCACAATAGTACTTTGAATCTTGCTGTCGGTCTCGTAATCCACAGAGGACGTGGCTTCGTCCAAAATCAAGATTTTGGAACCTCTCACTAGAGCCCTGGCGAAAGAGATAAGCTGTCTTTCTCCTAAAGAAAAGTTGGCGCCATCGTGATCGACTTCCCTCTCCAAATGAAATTTGTGCAAATTGTCGCTCAGCTGGGCCTGGGCCTTGATCAAAGCCATTTTACCGCTTTCAATCAAACCTGCTCTCGTCAAAGCTGTCCACAATTCTTCCTCAGAACTCTCGCCAAACGGGTCCAAGTTCTTGCGGATAGTACCCTTGAACAACACAGGATCTTGGGGAATGATCGACAATTTCGAGCGCAAGGTGTGAAGACCGAGCTGTGATATATCAATCCCATCAATTTCAATCTTGCCAGACTCCAACTCGGACAACCTGTATAACGCAGCCATGATCGACGACTTGCCAGCGCCAGTTCTGCCACACACACCAATTTTCTCTCGTGGCTTCACGTCCATGTTCAAGCTCTTCAACACAAGAGGCAACCCAGGCCTGTAAGCCAAAGAGGCATTTTCGAACCTGATCATACCTGTATCGGGCCAAGACTCATGGGGCGTGGTCTCTGAAATGAGCGCAGGCGCTTCCTGCGGTAGTCTGAAAGCGTATTCACTAAGCCTTTCCACTGAGTTGAACTCATTTTCCAACTGCGTGAACATTCTCACCAAGAGCGATAACTGGCCGGCAATTTGCAAGACATAAGACAAAAGCAAACCAACAGAAGAAGCGCTGATGTCGAACACACGGAACACACAGAGGAGGGATATCACGATCACAAGAATGGTGGCGACAAAATCCAAGTGAATGGCCAACCAACGCTGGTTGGCAATGGTGATGTAGTATGACTCGTTCATCCGGTTGATAAGAGTACTGTTCTTGTCGATGAACATGGTTTCCTTTTTGTAGGCTTTGATGGTTTCCATGCCGCCCAAAGTCTCGTTGAAGTTATTGTAGACTAAAGATCGTTGTACAGCCTCCAAGCGCTTGACCTCTCTGGCAGATGCCTGATAAAAGTTGGAAACCACTATGAAAATCGCAACTAAGGCCGGAATGGCAATGGCGAACCAGGGAAGATAGATGACACATAAAATGAGCACACCAACAATGGTGGAGAATATGTTGACTACCATGCGGAACTGGTTACCGATTTCGTTGTCCAAAGTGTCGGTGTCCTTGGTGAATCTGTTGATGATCCTTCCCATGGGAGTTGTGTCCATGTATGACATGGGCACACGCAAGATCTGCTCGACGGCCTTGATATGCAAGACCTTCGATGCCTTGATAGTCATGTAGGTGAGGAGCAAGAATTGTATGGTGATAAACACGAATGCCAAGATGGTGAACATCACGTAAAACCCGATGTAGAAGCCGTTGCTCTTGCCGGGGAATTTGAGCTCCGTCCAGAATGACAACCACGTGTTGGTGAACAATTGACAAAATACTGAGATCATGGTAAGAAGCACAAGCAAGGGCACAATCGAGTAGTGCTTAAAGACCCCGGAGCCATATTTGATGTAGTTCCGAACAACATCGAATGAAATGGCGTTCACCGCCCGGGCTTCGTCCATGATTAAGCGACCGTCATTATGTTTATTAGCGTCGTAGTCATGGCGCACTTTTTCTTCGTCAACGGCAGTGGACTGGCGCGTGAGCTGCTTGGCAATCAACTCTTTTTCTGCATTTCCATCCGGGACATTTTCCTCGTCCTCTTCTTCGTCCTTTGCCCGGGCGTTAAATGCCATCAACTCGCGGAACTCTGCCACGCGCAGCTGTAAGTCGTCCAAGAGGCCCACTTCTATGGTGCCATCTCCTTTCAAAAAGACTATGCGGTCGGCATCGCCAATCAACGACAACTGGTGCGTGGCCAAGATCCTGGTTTTTTCGGCCATCAAAGTCATGAGGCACGAGTTGACAATGTGCTTTCCGACACGGGCATCCACAGCACTCAACACGTCATCCATCAAGATGATGTCTTTGTCTGCGTACACTGCCCTGGCCAAGTTGATCCTGGCTTTCTGGCCCCCAGACAACGTGATTCCCCTTTCGCCAATCTCGGTCTGATCGCCCGCAGGAAGAATCTTCAAGTCGCTCTCAAGCGAACACGCATATACCACGTCTTGATACCTCTTCTCGTCGAGCGGGCTGCCAAACAAAATGTTCTCTTTGACCGTGGTATTTTGAATCCATGGGGCGCCGCAGAGCAAGAGCGAGCCCACGGTGTCGATGGCACCGTCTTTTCTGCTCATGAAACCAGCAATGGCGTTCAAGAGCGACGATTTGCCGGTGCCGATAAGGCCTGTGATGGCGATGAATTCGCCCTTCCGGATCTCCAAGTCGATGTTGCGCAAGGAGTCGAAAATGGTCGCCTCAAGCGCCTCCGAGGACGAGCTGGAAGACACGTCCAGCTTTCCCAGCGCGGCAAGCGGCACGTGCTTTCCGCTTTTGGACAGTTTGTCGCCGTGAAGCGTACCAGAGTCAGATGACGTGAGTTCGGGCTCGGCACTCTGGTACGAGTCCCACTTGAACGTGGCGTTGGAGATCTTGACAGCCAACTTTTTGCGGTCCATATACTCCACCATTTCCGGCCGCACGTCCGTTTCTAGTGCCAGAGTGTCTGTCTCCTCGGCGGCCAAGAAACCAGCCACTCTTTGGATCCCCACAGCTGCGTCAGCTGCAGTGCTCAAGGCCAAAGGAAGCATGAACACCTGCTGCGTCAAGGAGTTAAAAAGAGACACCGAGGAGAAGATTTCTGCTGGAGACTGCGTGGAGCCCAGGGTGGCATACACCACCAAAAAGGACGCCATGGACGCAAAAAGCGTCAAGGACGTGGCAACCGATACAATGGTGTTGCGCACCATCTGCATGTTGAAGATGATGTGCATTTCGTCGGTTCTGTTTTCCGTGATGCGGTCGAAATACGGCGCTTCCCACGAGTAGAACTTGATCATTTTGAGGTTGGACAACACCTCCTTCATGTAGTTGACACGCGAGTCGGTGAATTTGTTGGCCCGCTACCGGTAGGCAAAAAACAATTTGGTCACGATGCCCATGAAAATGATGAACACAAACGTGATGCCTATGCCGACCATGGCCGGGGCACCGATGTTATCACACAAGATGCCAATGGTGATGCCCACGGCCACAGGAAACGAGACGAGGAACGGCTGGAAACCCAAGGCAAAATCGATCCGCGCCAAGTCGGTGCTCATGATGGATGTGATTTTGGACACCGGGTAGTCGTGCCTCAGCTGGCCGTTCAATCGGAAAGACTTGTCCAAAATGGCCTTGACTAACACTGCGTTGGTCTGCGCCCCGGTGAGCATGGATTTTTGAAAGGTGTGGTTCAAGAGCAAGCCAATGACGAGCACCAAAAACGAGCTTCCAAGCGCATAGCCGACGCCGGACCCGATGCTGACGTCTGCGCCGAGGGCCCGGAGCTCCACGAACTCAATCAACTTTTTAGAGAGCAATGGCGCGGTGGACAGGCCCACACTGGCCAACACCAAGAATATGCATGCTAGCGAATACTGCCACTTGAAGGTGAGGAAAAGCGCCACGGTGAGGAAGTGCTTCAGCAACTCGAGATCCCGCACATCCTCGGCAAACGAAACAGACGACGTTTCCGAGGTTTCGCTTCGCTGTTTGATTTTGGCAAGCACGTGCTGATGTTGAGCGGTATCCAAACGGCGCTTGAAAATGCCCTGGAATCGCCTTGTCAAAGTCTCCACCTTGATATCCTCGTTGAGCGTGAACATGTCGGCCGGCTCTAGCGTCCGCTTATAGCCGACCCTCATAACCGGGTGCAACCACCAGAAAAAGAGGTACGACAACGGATTGAGGGTTGTGGGGTATTCCGGCCGCTCATTTTCCTCTGGAATCGGCGGCACGGTTTTCGGCAAAAACGGCGTGAGGAGCCTGTTTTGCAATTGTAGCTCCGTCATGTTTTCATGCAGCCACATATATTTGTGTCGTGTGGAAAGTGCTGCCTTTCAATGGTAAAAAGCCTTGATTGCTCATCCGGTGCACAGGCATCTGGTTATATACGTGAGACATTTCGATGGGGCAGCGGGAGGAAAGTCAGCCCAGCAGTCGTAAACGTGCGCATGGCGCTGCAAGGCGGTGCTGTCTGCAGGTCGCCAGTGGTGGACGGTGACTTCCGAGGGGCAGGCGAGCCGCGCCAACTGATCTCGTATATGGTTCATTCAATGATATTAAGTCTATCATGTTGTGATTGTTCAAGCCGATTGTTGGGGTACACCGGGGAAGCTTTCAAGGCTGTGGATGCATGGTGTGTAAAAGGGAGAAAACGAATCTTTGGGTCGCCCCAGTTCCTGGTCCCCGTTGTTGAGAGTATTAAAGTCGATGTTGGTGGATTTCTTGGCCAGCACAGCATCAGATCTGAAGCTGCAATATAATTAAAAGCTGCTGCTTTTATGACTAGTCTAGTGTCAGTAAGCTAAAATGCTTATTCTGAGCCATTTGAGTTTTAAAGCAATCACTTTTCACGTGTTCTTTCTTGAGCTGGAGCTGTGTTTCACATGTGACACGTGATCTAAACCTGGGAGCCATGACTCCGGTCCGCGGATATAAATGGCAGTCCTGCACACAGCTTCCCAAAAGCCTATGATCGGGCCAGAACGCCCAAAAACGTGACATACAAAGCCAAGAGAAGTGTAAAGGCTAGGCCTAGTGTTCGCGAAGCAAAGCTAGAACCCACTATCACAAGAGGCCGTGCCATCTTTATAAAGTCGCAGCCATGCGGTGACTACATCTCCTTTTGATGTGTCTCGGTGAAGGCCTGATATTATGTGGCTTCCACTGTCCTATAATCCAGACCTGCAGGAGAGAGCCACAAAATTAGAGCCGGTAAACTAAAGCCACGAAATTACATTCGGGCTTCCAGCCACTTGGCCAATATATCCCACTTATATCTCAAACTCATGCGGCTTTTTTTTTTTTTTGAGTCGGCCATGAATTCAACTCTTCATGTCCACAGGCCCTTTATACTCTTCTATGAATCGCTTATTGAACGCACAATCTGTACATCCAAAGATCAAGTGGCTCCTACGTTCGAGGGCCATATGAGTGCGTGCAGCTCAGGCCACCAAAATGTGAAGATTTTCTTGTCACTGTGTGTGGATCCAGAATACTTGATTATTTTAAGATTTACTTTATATGCACGTCTGCTATAGGCCAGGTTCATTCAAGAACCTCTAATTCTGCAACACCACAATATAATGGGAGGGGTTCATATTTTTTACTTGCCTGAAGAGAAAATCAGTGCTGAGGGATTTTCCACCTGTGTGACAGTTTCTTTGTCCGAGGACTAAACATTATACTTCAGCTGGATATGCTCAGCACTCACACAAACCATATGGGACCATCTAATATACTGTTTTATTTTTTCTAAGATGAATCTGATGAAATCAGGTATATTGAATCTGAAGAAAGCAACATATTGAAAAATCTTAGGTGTCTGTTCATTCTTTGGAGTGTTCTTAGTCGTAAGAGATATTCAGCTTCAATGAATGCAAACATGTAAAGACCAAATTCTTCTTTAGAGAGAAATATTATATACGATACTTTTAAGATAGCCCGGGATCGCAAGTTTGACTTGTGTTAACCGGAACTGCTTCGCCATACAGTAGTAGTTTAACCCAAAGTCTTTTAGTCTTTTATAAATCACCTATATTACCAATACTTTTCAAAAATGAAAGGCTTGAGATTAGATAAAGATTAAATTCTCAAGCATAGCTAAGTCTCAAGCTATCCCGCTGTTTTTGGTTGATAAAAAGGGTACTATCTCAATATTCACCAAATCAGACCCCAGTGCTGCTAACTTCTTATGCCAATACTCTTAGAGAGTAAAAGTAGCCCAAGTGAACTCTTTGGGAATTGAAAGTTCAAGAAACAATAATGAGTGTAGTTAGGGATGTGACGCTGGCAAGCATCGTAAGTGAGTTAACGACTACCAGTAGCTTACAACGAGGCTAAGATTCACACCTAAGCCAAGCTAGATTAATAGTAGATTTGCCTTTCTATATCTAGGACTATCCCACGAAAGATTGCCAATGTTCCCGCTTCAGGAAAACAATACAAGGTTCAATCTGGCATATAAGCCACCTTAGTCAAAGTGGAGAACTACAAAAATAGAAGAATGTAGTCAGACAAGAAGATTCGGTGATTCTTTGGTGCTTGACGTCCGAGAGTCCAACATACACAAAGCAATTTGCTTTCATCCATTGCCAGAAATCTTGGTCGTTCTCTTTTCATAACTGGACCACGACGCTCTATCAAAACCTTTGGACAAACATTCGGTACCGCCAACGGAAAAGTCACATCATACCTAAGCTCTATGCTATTTTTCTGTTTCTCGAAATTTTTTGTGCATATGCAACGAGAGTGTCTAAATGAATCCTCCTGCCAGATCCTCGGTTCTTTGTCATTTGCAATTAGGTTTCGCGTACTCCAACCACCTCGGTTTTTCGTGCCCATCCCCAGCTTTCGTATATTCAGTAATCTGAGCCATCCTCGGCTATTCGCTTCCTCGGACACTGCTTCTGTACTGATCGTTGTGAGCAATGCCGTCATTGATTCTTGTGGGATATGACCCATCACAGTGTAATGAACTGTAGCACAAACACACGCTTATGTACTCTGGACTACTATGTCCAAGGGTTCAGTAGCAGGCACATTTCCAGTGCTTTTGAAAAAAGAAGAAAAAAAGAAAGCTTTGAAACTTTTGAGAACTTTCACCACCCTCAAACAGCCCCCGGACTTATGACTGGCCTTGCAACTTCCAACGTATACTCGAATTAAGAACGACCTTCGACTTTTGGTCTCAGGAATCAGTCAGCTCTCCCCAGAAATGGAGCGAGCAGAATTATGGAATAATGCTTTGAATTAAAAGATAAGATAGCCTCATCGTAGATAATGGTGACAAACAGAATAGGTGAGATAATGGGCAACTCGCCCCATTTTAGTGAGGGAAAACGCCAGTGCACTACCAGGGCAATGTAAAAAACACACCTATTTCACGGGGCGTAAAATGGATTCCTGTGCCTCCATTCCAATATACCCCTCTGTTTATGAATAATGTCCGATTCCCAAACGTGCGGCGTTCGCTGCGGGTTAGCCAATTTTCAAGCGTTGCAAGTCACTCTCACCTTGAGACGACGTATACAAATTTGAAACCCGGACATGGAATCAAAATTATATCCGTGTCTTGGCTTTAAGATCACTTGATGACACATGGATCGCAAAATTCACCGGCAAAAAATATCATCCCCATCCAGCGCTGGCCCTAACACCGGGTCGTCTCGCATATATCAGGGACTGCACATACTATCGTCCCTGGCTCGTCAGCCTTCGGCGTCGGGTCACCTTCGAAACGCCGCGCTGTGTGCCAGAAGATGTGGGGTTGCAGTTCTGCGAGGCCATAAACGCGCAACCAGGCGCCAAACCCCGGTCCAAACGCCGAAGGGCGGGTCCAACTGTTCGTTTCACGTCGACGTCCTGTAGCCATTGCAGGAAGTGACCCCGACCCGCTTTTTGAGAATGTCCCCACACTCTCAGGTCTTATATAATGAAGAATTCTCCGCAATCGTGCGATTATTTCATAAAGCACAACTCATCGAAAAATAGCCTAGCGTTCATCGGGCCTCTTCTACACAGCTGATATTCGCTCTTCATTAACAATGTCCGAATCTTTTTTTGACGAGGCAAAGCCCTCCTTTTCACACGATAGTGTGTCGCGTATCAGAACCGAGGGACATGGCGACGAGATTGTGGTTTTGGGAAATAAACGGTATTACAAGCACGAGCTCATGAGGGCGTTTGGCGGCACCTTGCAGTCGGAGCGGCTCGCGCCTTTTAAGGAGCCGAAATTCGGAAATGCCGCGGCCTTGGGCCTCACTGCTTTTGCCACCAGCGCGTTTGTTTTGGGGCTCTCTTTGGCCGGTGCAAAGGGCATCACGGTGCCCAACATCACTGTAGGCTTGTGTTTTTTCTATGGAGGCGTGGTGCAAGCGGCAGCGGGGATCTGGGAGTTGTTTTTGGGAAACACGTTTGCGGGAACTGTCTTGTGCAGTTTTGGCATGGGCTTCTGGATGTCTTTCGGAGCCATGAACGTTGAGGCGTTCGGCATAGTGGCTGCGTATGGCACCGACACTGAGATGTTGAGCAATGCCATTGGGTTGTATCTTGTGGGATGGGGCATTTTCACGTTCCTCATGTTGCTCTGCACGCTAAAGACCACGTTGGCTTTTATGGGGCTATTCTTCACGCTTGACATTGGCTTTTTCGTGCTTGCCGGATACTATTTCACAGCGGAGCCCAAGCTCTTGACGACGGGCGGTGTGTTTGTGACTATGGCGGCATTGTGTGGATGGTACTGTGCATTTGCGGGTGTGGCCACGCCGGAAAACTCATACATCGTGCCTTTCTCCTTCATGCTTCCTGTGTTTGGCGAGTCCAAAGCGAAAAAATAGGCAGTTGGCGATCGGGGGAATGGGACAAAAAAACACTTTTGAGTGAAAATCGCCTGTGGCTGGTACACGTGGCATGGAAACATAGGGTTCATATTTTGAATAAGTATAACTTCCAAAGCACGGCTAATCTGGTGCAACGCATGGGATGGGGATCTCAGTTGCATGGTCCTCTCTCAAATCTTGCTATCTTTCTGTAACTCCGAGGCTGGCAATATACATATAGAGGCGAAAAGCACTGGATGGCCCAAATTGTCTATTTCGTGGTCTTTCCACACGGCGCAGCTTGAAACCGTACATGGCCAACACGAGTCTTGTTTATCAGATTTGGAGCTGTGTGGGACAGAACAGCCAGACATCCATTCCTAGGCCAATAAAATTAAGCGAAATGGGGCCTCCACATTTATAGTTCCGGCTGCTTACTATTCCATCTCCTAAATTCCATCCGGAACACAGCAGCAAGAAGAATGTCACAATTTTACCTCGGGAATTGAAAACAGAACATATTCTATTGACAGAATTCTGAGCTGTCAATGACTCTATTTCTCTATGGTTGCTATGTCATACTCATCTTGAAATCCCAGATTTTCAGTTCCTTCATTGCTCGTTTTCACACAACTCATCATCGCCGACTTTCCAGACGACGTGTACTTTGAAAACAAAATATACCTTTTCGACGGCGAAAGATTCAAGAGCACCGAAACTCCTAATTTTTTCTGGTAAGAAACAGGTCGATGGAAACAACCACAATTAGATTTTCGTTGCAGTTCTAGTGGTGTCCACTTTCCTCTCGGAACAAACAGAATGCTCATATAGCGTTCGGGGTGCAGTCTAGACACATCGATACACGACTCTCGTCAATAAAACAATATATATTAATTCACGTGAAACTAAACCCGTACGCCACTGCCTAGATGCTTCTCCTTGATACACTTAGATCACGACAGCAGAAGCCAACTTCTTCTTGTAGTCCAAGATCGAGCCCTCCCATCTGGTGGCCGTCTTGTCTTCGATGACATAGATATCCTTTGCGACTTTGTCCAACAATCTGAAGTCGTGCGACACCACAACAACACCACCATTGAAAGCCTTGATGGCGTCAGCCAACGAGTCGATAGTGGACAAGTCCAAACCGTTAGTAGGCTCATCCAACAAGATCAAGTTGGGGGACTCAATGGCCAACAAGGCAAACACAACTCTGGATCTCTGGCCCTCGGACAAAGTAGCCATCTGCGAGGTCTGGCCCTCACCGGTCAAACCGAAACGGCCCAACTGCAGTCTCCAGTACTGGAAGTCTTGCGAGATGCTGGAGAATCTGTCTCTGACAAACTCCAAAGGCGTCTTGGTCAAGTCCAACTGGTCTTGAGAGTGCTGAGAGTAGACACCCAACTTGATGTGCGTGTGCTGGATGACTCTACCCTTTTGAGGCACCAACTTACCCTGGAACAAGTTCAACAAAGTGGACTTACCCACACCGTTAGGTCCCACGAGGGCAACACGAGAGTCCATGTCAATACCGATGTCCAAATGTTCATACAAGTTGTCCTCGTCCTTACCCGAGTAAGAAAAGGACATGTCGTCGAAAGCCAACACTGGAGGAGGCAACTTCTCGACATCAGGGAAGCGGAACGTGAAAACCTTGTCGGGAACAACGGGCTGGATCAAGCCATCGGCCTCCATCTTGTCCAAGATCTTTTGTCTGGACTTGGCCTGTCTGACCAAGTTGGCGTAGGTACCGGCGGAAGCGATGAACTTCTTGATGTGGGCAATCTCATCCTGCTGCTTCTGGTAGGACTTCATCTGGTTCACCTCCAACTCAGCACGTGTCTTCACGTACGAGTCGTAGTTACCACCGTACTGCATGATTGTCTTCATTCTCATGTCAAGCATGTTGGTACACACACCGTTCAAGAAATCCTGGGAGTGCGAGACCAAAATCAACGTACGGTCCCATCTCTTCAAGTACTCTTCCAACCACACGCATGCGGCCAAGTCCAAGTGTGCAGTGGGGTCATCCAAAAGCAAGAGCGTTGGCTTGACGAAAAGCGCCTTGGCGAGCGCCACACGCATCTTCCATCCACCGGACATGTCCTTGGTCTTCTTGTTGATGGTCACACCCGTGAAGCCCAAACCGTGCAAGATCACAGCGGCACGAGACTCGAAAGTGGAGGGGTCCATGGCGTCGATACGCTCATACATGGGCTCCAAGGATGGGTGGTCGGGGCCGTCCTCGACAATGATTTTCTCGACCTGGTCCTCCAAGTTCTTCAATGCACCCTCGGCCTCTCTGACCACATACTCCAAAGCAGAGTATTCGGAAGGCTCGGCTGGCTCGTTCAACAAGTACACATCGATGTGGTCTGGGATGGGGAACTCCCGGGCCGCCAACGACTTCAAGAAGGTGGACTTTCCGCACCCGTTCTCACCCAACAAACCGTATCTTCTGCCGAAGTTCAACTCCACCGTCGTGTCCTGGATAAGGTTCTTGCCGTGGAAAAGCAAAGACAACGACGAGATCTTGACATCCTTCGATGTAGGCAACGACTCCAAAACACCGGTCGTGACACGGTCCGAAAGCCCGTGCTCGTCCTGCTGCAACTTCAACTTGGCAATCTGAGCCGCGGCATCGTCCACATCCTTTTCTTCGGAGTCCTTGATGGCCTGCTTCTTGGTCTTCTTGGTGGTCTTTCCGGCGGCAGTCTTGGCGGCCTCCTTCTCGGCACGCTTCTGCTCTCTCTTAGCTTTGGACGAAGAAACCGACATGCTGCTAAACTTTAAATATGTGTTTGGAAGAAAAAAAACCAGTGGTTTTGCTGCTGCTGCTGGTGTGGAAAAAGCAGGCTAGGTGCGGTGCATTGAAAACTGGCTGGGCCAGCGGTGCAGAGCATCGGCGGGCGCACCTGCGAAAAAAAAAGCTTCAGTGTGCAGGCCGATGACGTTTTTCTTTTCGCACCCTGTTTTTTAGGCTGGTGTTGCGGTTTGGGGCCGTGGACTCTTACGTCATGGCGCTGTATTCCCGAAGGACTTGAGAACTGGCAGTATGAGTCCGTTTTTGTAGTGGCCCGTAGTGAATTTTGGTGTACGCACTAATGCTGCCAGGTTTGGACTGGCTGTTTCAAACACGGCTGCGAGCGCCCGGAATTGGTAGAATACCTTTAGCCAATTTTGTAAAGGATGGCCCAACCTATTGGTGCTGATGTGTAGTGCTATGGGTGATTTCGGCACGTGCTTTTGGGCACGGGAAAAACCGGGAATTAAAACTGCCGGCTTGTTTCAGTTTAAGGTGTTCGTGACGCAGCCTATAATGTGCCTGCTATATTGGAAACTAATCGAAAGTCCAGATAATCGTGGCGATGTGCAGTCCCGCTCGGTGCGTTGAGGTCCAATACATTCATGGGTTGGGACTGGTGACGGTGATTCCGCCACTTTCGCCGCCTCCGTCAAAGACAATGGGGCTTTAGAGGTTTGTTTGCGCTTTTTGGGCCACTTCTGGAAATACCAGGTATCTCGTGTTTTGCCGGGGCGGTGCATATATCATCGAGTTGTGCGATCGTCAAATCTGCTGTTTTGGCGCAGGATGGAGGTCATAAAGAACATTTGGGCCACAACAGACGCTCCGAATATTTTTGGTGATCTCGGAATTTTTGTTCGTCGTAGAAGGCTGGCAGCGAGCCAGCCGTAGATGTCTCTTTGATAGCAAACATTGCTCTTCCCTATGCCGGTCGCAACGCGAGCCTCCAGGAAGATTATGGCCCTGCACGTCAAGATAATGGCTGGGTCCATTTTGGAGCCTGTCGTTTGGCGATTCCCTGGATGTCCCGTGTTCGACTTGGGCTCTTTGAAAACCGCTAATCTCTTCAGGACCGAATTTCTGGTTCTGCGCCCGAATTAAAGCGGGGGTTTTCTAAAAGCTGGAGCCACGAGAAGACTGTGGTTCCTAGCGTCCGCCGATATTGGGGTCGGCTGCACCTGTATTGATCAGATGCCTAATTAACGGCTGATTTCAGAACAGGACGTAAACAAAGATCCGGAAGGAGCCAGAAAGTTGGGATTCCGTGAATATCGTTATACTCACCGGAGAAAGGAGATACTGACCCAGCTTTGTACATATAGGTTTTTATTTCTGAGCACCACGGCCTGAGAAAGTGGCGGCAGGTGGGCTCGCCGTCTAAGCCAAAATCCATGTTATATGGGCGTGTGCTTTGAATGCCAATGTCACAGATCTGTACCCAATGCCATTCAGCGGCCACAATAAACAAGTGTTTGAGAAGAACGCAGAGTTTTTGCGCCAATCTGGGCGTTTTCCGCTGTATAATGAAACTGCTTGAACAAAGAAAAAAAAATCACACGTGCAGTAGAAACGAAAACCACCAGGTCAGCCTTAGGACGCGGGTCTTCCATAAGCAGCCCGCATTAAATCAACATACTAGGTAAAGATCCAGCACAGGCTGCAGGCAAAAGGGCCGGGCAGAGAAGGAACCAAACCGAGCGAAGCCCTAAGCCCGGGTCATTTTGTCAGGGCCTATTTTAGCATTCTATTGCAACAGAGTCCTTTTTAGCAAAGCCTATTTAGGGCCCAGCTGAGCAGAACCAACACTATCTGTATTCATAAGCAAGACGCAGGTGTCTTGTACAAGCATCAGGACCGAGAATGCTGTCGTTGCCAGAAAACGTGAGTTTGTTGTGCAAACTAACTCCACTGTTGCCAACTAAAAGTAACTTTTGAACTTCGGGCTTACCAACGATTGTATCGTTGATATTGCCGTAAAAACTAGTATTTTGTCCGCCATGCCAATCGATGAGGATGTGACGATTCCATTGGGAACCGTTGTTGGACCAAACGTGATGGCAGCGTACCATCAGCATATCTTGTCGCTCAGAATCGGCCCGGCTGTTGATTGTCACAAGAATGATGTTGTGTATGAAGATACTGAGCAAAGAAGAACTTCGTGCATCACGCCGGGTACGTTGAGCAATCTCCATTCACCAACAGAGCATAGAAGATTTACAACGACAACGAGGTCTACCCTATCAGTGAATGGCAAGCAGGGTAAAATCATGATGCTTGCTAAGCAAATGCTCTTGGCTGATTTTAATTTTTTCATCAGCATAAGGACACAGTTTGCCACGCAGTAACTTTGGGTCATCAGGTATTATTACCATCAAGCCTCGGCAGCCGGTGAGTTCACCAACCAGTCGCGAGCCGACACAGGTATTGGTGAATGGCCAAGGCCAAGGGGCCTGTCAGAAACGATGACATTGTTGTTGGGACAATTTTAGGTTTCACGTGAATTCCAAGAGTGAAGGATTTCCCAGTCATGCCTGTGAAAACATGCAGTATCCATCTTGTTCCATCAAGCTTCTTTAACAGGAATTCAGGGTTTGGCCTTCCTCAGTCCTCACGGTCTTTCTACCAGTCTGTGTTGGCTTATTTCGACGTTCCAAAATGTTGCAGATGCTTGTTGTTGTAAAACCCACTTGTAATTTTATAGATATTCATACCAAGAAATTATAACTTTCTGTGGAGGCGCCCCTTGTGTGATTTTTCATTACCTTGAGGACTATTGAGTTGAACAGCTCATGGTGGTGTTTGGAAGCAAATTAGTAGCTGGTTAGTCAAATGTCCAGAATACAAACCTGGACAAAAGCTGATCCATAAATGACGGTACAGCAATGGTTGCAAGTTTACATCATCATGTACGTACAATGTGTTTCCTGATCATTACGTTGCAGTCACCTTTGCACATCTTGCGTGGGCTATCCTGTGTTTTTTTCTGGCATAAATATGCTTGTAGTTATCGGAAATAAAAACTGGAAGCATGTCCTTTCTCAGGATATAGACAAACACGCTTCAACTAACTTCCAAAAAGTACCTGAGGCCTCCAGATTCATAACGTTTTTGAATATTGATCAGAGTATGTCCGAAAGGGAATTAAAGGAAAGGCCAGCTTACCACCAGATTGCTTAAAGTATGTTTGTGAGCTTTTAGTGAACAGGAGTCAGGTTGAACATTGTAAAATCGAGCTTTTGTGAAATTCTTACGTTTAGTATGGATATACATGTAAGCCGGTAATTAAAACTGTCAAAACACAGTAAGAATAAACATTGACCATCAAACATTACCAATATAGACACTGGGAACGAATTTGAAGTCATGATAAGGAACAATGTTTATGTTGTTTCCTCTTGATGCGTATTAGAATGAGAAAGAAAGTTGTGTTTTCGACGCTTCAGCAAAACTGGTATCAAAACATGCAAAATTGCCTATTTCAGTCTATGACAAGCAATAATCTGTCTCTTTCTGTAGCTTTGATCCATTGTTAGCGTCTTTCCGAATCTGAGTCAGTATACCCCAGAAACTATACCGATATTTTCAGTGAATACGAGGCGATCAGGCACATGGAAGCGTAACGCATTTTTCTCCCGATTTGACTATTTTACAGCAAATTTGGACAGCAAATTTGGGGTATTTCAAGTTACTGCTCGGTCGACAAAACAAACAAGCCTATTATGATTGTGCGTGCGATGTAACCAGGATTGAATAATCCAAAACCAGTCTCTTCGAAAGACATTTTCAATATGCTAGCCAAGATAAAGATTAGGAAACATTTTTAAGCTTAGAGAATAGTGTGCATGAAATCTCTAGCTGATAATATCAAAGAAAATGCCAACAAAAAAAGGAGAGATACACTCGGATGACAGAGTTGCCGCGTGTTTTCGGCGGCTGCGAAACTTAAAATACGCGGAGAGAGCAAACTCTAACGGATTCTTCACAGTAGAACTTGAAAAGTCAGAAAGAACGACCAAAGCCTTGGAATAAACAGAGCCCATTCAAGCAGGGCCCATTTGAGGCCTGTTTAAGCAGCGCACGATTAATCAAATCCTTTTGAAACAAGGCTTATTTCAGCAGAGGCCATTATAGCAGGTCGTGTTTTAGCAGAACCTAATTAAGCCAAACATATTTAAGGCCCAATTAAACAGAGCCCGGTTTAGCAGAACCCATTAAGGCTCAACTAGGCAAAGTCAATTCTAGCAGGGCTTATTTTAGCGAGGCCTAGTGGAACAGGTCCCATTTCAGCAGGGCCCACGTAGGGCCAACTGAGCAGAAACTATTTCAGTAGGGCCCATTTAGGGCCCATTTCATCACCCCAATTTACCAGGCCCATTCCAGCAGAGCCCATTTAGGCCCAAGAGCCCAATTAGGCGGAGCCCAATTTATCAAAGCCTTTGGAAAAAGGGCTCATTTTAACAGCGCCCATACAGTGTTAATTGAGCAGAGCCAATTTAGCGCTCCTTTACTTTAAGGTCCGGCTAAAGCCTAATAACAGGACCCACTTCGGGCCCATTGAGACGAGTTCATTTCACCAGGGCCAATTAGGCCAATTTTAGCAGCGCCCAAATAATCAAAGCCTATAACCAGGCCATTTCAGCAGTCTCCACTTCAACCCATTTATCACGCCCGGCCCATTCTGGGCGGGCCAACTCTGGGCGGGCCCATTTTAGCAGGGCCCATTTTATCATGGCCCATTTAGGGCGAATTGAGCAGAGGCCCTTCTAGGAGGCCGCATTTTGGCAGGCCCACTTAGGTCCAATTGAGCAGGCCCCAATTAATCAAAGACTAAGTCAGCTTGGCCCGTTCGGTCAAACAAATCAAACCCCATTTTTGTACGGCCGAATTAGGGCCCATTTCACCAAGGCCCATCCCAGCAGGGCCCAACTAGGGCCCAACTTATCAAAGCCTATTTTACAAGTTCCATTTATGCCCAACTCAGCGGGGCCCAATGAATCAGGTCCTAATTCAGCAGAGCCTATTTTGGCAGGGCCTATTTTAGCAGGCCGCAGTTGAACCTATTCAGGCCCATTTGGGCCCATTCTGGGAGGGCGCATTCAGGCCAATTGAACAGCGCCCATTTAGGGCCAAATAATCAAAGCCCAATTCAGCAGCGCCCAACTATGGCCTAATTTATCGAAGCTTTTTGAAACCGGGTCAATTTTAGCAGTCCCCATATGAACCCGTTTCATCTCGCCCATTTGGGCCCATTCTGGGAGGGCCCATTCTAGCAGAGCCACTTAGGGCCAATTGAGCAGGTCCCAATTAATCTAAGACTACTTTATGTGGGCCTGGTCTCGCCCAATAAAACAAACCCCGTTTTGGCGCGACCCACCTAGGGCCTATTTTACCAAGGCCCATTGAAGCAGGGCCCAGATAGGGCCCAATTTATCAAAGCCTATTTTACAAGGTTCCATTTTGGCCCAATTAGGCAGAGTTTATTTTGGCAGGGCCTATTTTAGCAGGCCGCAGTTGAACCTATTCAGGCCCCATTTAGGCCAATTGAGCAGCGCCCATTTAGGGCCAAATAATCAAAGCCCAATTCAGCAGCGCCCAACTATGGCCTAATTTATCGAAGCTTTTTGAAACCGGGTCAATTTTAGCAGTCCCCACATGAACCCGTTTCATCTCGCCCATTTGGGCCCATTCTGGGAGGGCGCATTAAGGCCAATTGAGCAGCGCCCGTGGGCAGGGCCCCGTGAGAAGGCGCCAACTCAGCAAAGCCTATTTAAGCTCGGCCCGGCGAGCAGGCCCCGGTTCACAAAAACGACTACGTGCGCTGGCCCCGTTCAGGTCCCACAAAAAAAAAGCTATTTTATCTGGGCCCGGGCTCGCCCAATTTATCAAGCCCTTTTTTTGCACGGCCCATCCAGGGCCCACTTCACCAGTGCCCATTTCACCAGGGCCCATTTCGCGCAGGCCCATTTCGCGCAGGCCGCGCGGCCCCAGTCCCATCGGCGGCCCCATCCGCGGCCCCATCCGCGGCCCCATCGGCGGCGCCTGCACACACGGCGCGCAGGCATCGGGCAAACATTTTTCGCCAGCAGGCCCGGCCTTAGCCACGGCACAGTACGACTTCTCCCGCCCCTCCTCCCCACATCACACCATGGCAGAGCCCTACAGTTTAGTGGACGATCTGGGCCAGTACCTTGCGAGTATCGTGGCCCGGCCCGGGCGCAACGAGGTGCAGTTCTACCCTCTCTGCGGCGGCGGCGAGCAGCTCATCGACGAGGCGCAAATCACCCGGCACGAGTTGCAGAGCGGGCTGGACATTGTCGCGGCCACGTGGCTCAACGAGCATGCGGATGCGCCGGCGGCGCCCAAGGGCCAGAAGCGGGCGGCCCCGGGCGAGACCAGCACCCAGACCGGAACCCAGGCCCAGGCCGAAAACAGCACCCAGGCCAAAGACAGCACCCAGACCGACACCCAAACCCAGACACAACCCCAGACACAACCCCAGACACAACCCCAGACACAACCCCAGACTGACACACAACCCCAGACTGACACACAACCCCAGGCCGAGGCCCCCGCCGAGCCCCTCCTCGCGGTGGCGCTCGCGCTGGGCGAGATCTGGACGTTTCTGCCCCGGCGCGCCGTGCGCGTGGCACAGGCGTGCGTGCCCGAGGCCGCGGTGTCCTTGGCCGCGGCCCACGCGCGCAACCACGTGTGGGCGTGCGGCGCCGCGGGCCTGGTGTTCCTCGTGGACGTGGTGGGCGGCGCCGTGGCCAAGACCATCCGCGTCAGCCGCGTGCTCGCGGAGCCCTGCGCCGTGGTCGCGGCCTGCCGGCACCAGGCGCGGCGCCGGCGCAACACGGCGCCGCCGCAGCTCTTCTTCGCCGCGCTGGCCTCGTTGCGCCTCGTGGACGGCGCGCGGCTGCGCGGCTATGTGGTGGCCGAGTTCGCGGCGCGCGACGACGGCGCCGACGACGCGCGGCGGCCCATCTCGCACGTGGCGCCCGTGCCCGGCGACGGGCGGGCCGTGGCCGTGGCGCGCGCCGGGTCCGGCGCGGTGTCGCTCTTCGACGTGGCGGCCCCGGCGCAGCCGCCCGTGGTCTTGCCGTGCGGCAGCCTGGACGTGCGCCGCTTGCGCGCGTGGCGCGGCGGGTACGTGGTGGCGTTCACGGCGCGTGGCGCGGAGGTCTTCCTGCTGCACGCGGCGGCGCCGGCGGGGCCCGTGGCCGTGGTGCGGGCGGCGGGGCCCGGCGTGGTGCTCGAGAACGTTTTCCTCAGCGCGGCGCACGGCGTGGTGGGCGTGTTCTACGCGGGCACGCAGCCGCGCTTCGTGCGCGTGGCCGCCGCCGCCGCGGCCTTGGCGGGCGACGTCTCGGTGCCGGCGGGCGACGTCTCGGGGGTCGCCTCGGGGGTCGTCTCGGGAATTGCCCCGGCAATTGCCCCGGAAACCATCACGGGATTCGCTTCTGAAACCATCTCAGAAACCGCCCCGGCCGACGCCCGGCTGGACGGCGCGCTCCTCGCCGAGCTCGTGGTGCGGCTCGGCGCACAGCCCCCGGAGCCCGCGGCCGTGGTGGCAGTGTGCGCCGGCTGCGCCCACGAGCCCACGATCCGCGCCGTGGTGTGCCTGCTCGGGCAGCACGCGGACCGCACGCTCGTTCCCGCGTTGTTCGAGGCCGTGGCCGGCCACGTGGCGCGCGACCCGGCGCGCAGCGACTCGCTTGCCGTGTGGCTCCGGTGGGTACTCTTGGCGCACGGCGGGCAGCTCGCGGGCGCCCGGCAGCACGCGGACAGCTTGCGCGCGTTGCAGCACTCGCTCGCCGGCGGCGTGCCGATGATGGGCCGCATGTTGGCGCTCCAGGGCCGGCTCCTGTTGTTGAAGGCGCAGGCCGAACTCCGGCGCGGCGGGGGGCATGTGGCGGGCGAGCTGGACAGCGAGCTGGAGGCCGTGCTTGGCGTGGGGGGCGCTCTTGCCCTGCCGCGGCGGCCGGCCGAGGCCGTGATGTACGCCAACGGCGAGAACGACGACTCGGAGGGGTTTGAGGATGGCCTTGAGGATGGCCTTGAGGATGGCCTTGAGGGCGACCTCGAGGGCGACCATGAAGGCGGGCACGGCGCAGACGCGGCCCTGGGCCACGGCGACGGCGCGTAGTGCGTCGTGGTGGGCGGCCTGTGGAGGTTCCTTGAGGCGCCGGGAGGTGGTTTTGGGTTCGCCCGGCCCGACATGGGCGTTGCCATGGAGCCCGGCATGGGAGACCAGAGAAACGGGCTGGGGGCTGGGGCCTGGGGGCCAGGAGATGGGCCAGGACGTGGCGCCCGTCTCCCAACATGAAGATCAAGACATGCAGGCCGGCTGATCAAGGTCGGTCCGTCAGCACATCAAGATCCGTCAGCCCATCAAGATCCGTCAGTCCATGCGATCAGTCAGTCCATGCGATCAGTCTCTTCCGGCCCGTCCATCGGGCCAGTTCATCAAATCAAAAGATCAAGATCACGACATCAGATCAACACATCAGATCAACACGTCAAGAGTAAGACATCACAATCAGTCTCAAGAGATGTTAGCCCCATTGATGCTGAAACTGGTACAGCACTCAAACACATTGGGATTCATTGATATCAATCAGATCCCAGTTACTAAAACATAGATGCATTAAATCATTTGTAAAACATTCTTCCATTTTTTCCATTTTTTTCTGGCTTTTGCTAAAAAAGTCATAGAAAGCCCTCACTTGGACCTGTAACTATCGATGATGGACCATGAAGTCATCAAGTTCAAGGCACAAAAAGTGATGGCTTTTTATGATGCAGAAACGGTACAGCACTCAAACACAGGGGAGAATGATCGAACTCAATCAAGTCTCCTAGTCTGAGTTACCAATGTACTGGATTTATTGGGGTATCCCATGAATTCAATCAAAGTAATTTAATCTCGTTACCAAAATATTAGATGCATCAAAAAACATTTCTAATGATTAAGAGTTATTTCATTTTTTTACTTCGAATAATTTGTGATTGTGCTCGAAAAAAGGTAAAAATATATGAGTAACAAAAATATACTTTTTCTGAAAAGTAACTATTGTTGATAGACTGTCAAGCCATCCCAAACAGCCTCAAGACATAGCCTGATAAATGCTAAAACTGGTATAGAACTCAAACACATGGGGCAATTATTGATGTCTATTAAACCCCGGTTACTGAAACATAGATACATCGAAAAATCTACTACATTGTTTAATTCTTTCTCAAGTTAGTTCTAAAACTTGCTCGAAAATGTTTATTTGGGCAGAAATAATGCCTTTACTTTAAGCTGAAATAATTGATGATGGACTATGAAAACATTTTGATCAGTTACTGACGTTAAACCCGGTACAGCACTCAAACGCGTTGGGGAATTATTGAATTTAATGAAGTCTTTTGGTCTTAGTCACCAATATATTAGATTCATTTGGGGTCATGCATTTAATCATAGTAATTTCAATTCACCGAATAAACGAAACTACACTAAACTGAATAATGAGGTATGAACCCGGGCATATTATATTTATTTTATGATCGCGTTCTAAAACATATTATAATTTATTTCATGCATGTATAGATAACTTGTTAGTTCTTTATTGCATGCCGCTGTAATGGTTTGTAGTGGAGCATTTTCATAAAATCATCATTTATATTATTATACTTACGGTAGAGTAATGAGATGACGACTATACGAAAAATATAAAACATCTTATCCTCTAATGTGGAAAACCCTGCTTCAAAAAATTGTAAATGGTAAAAATAAATGAAATACTAATACTGTTACCAAGAAAACAGATGCATCAAAAAACCTTTCAAACCATAAAGAGTTATTTCATTTTTTATTTTCACTAATTTGAGATTCTGCTTGAAAAGAGGTACAAATATATCGGAACAAAGATGTAACATTTCCTAAAAGCTGTAATTATTGATGATAGACTAAAAAGACATCAAGATCAGTCTCAAAATATGATAGCCTAATTGATGTTACTCAATACATCTGGGGGGTTAATTCTATCAAAATACAGTCCCTTGGAAGATCTGTCCGTCAGGGTCAGTCCATCAAGGTCAGTCCATCAGTCCATGAAAGTCACTCCATCCGGGTCAGTCCATCAAAACAAAAGATAAAGATCATGATATCAGCAATAAGACAGCAAGAGAAAAAGATCAGATCAGTCTCAAATGGTGATAGCCTCATAGATGTTAAGACGGGTACAGCACTGAATACGTTTGGGGAATCATTGAATTTTATCGAAGTACATTAATCTAGGTTATCAAAAAAACCTGTGAATCATAAAAAATTTATGCATTTCTTTTCATTTTCAGTTATTTCAAGATTTTGATCTCGGTTGCCAACAGAAAAGATACATTAGAAAAATTTGTTAATCATTAAGAATATTTTTTTTTTTCTTAACTTGAGGTTTTGATCTAAAGTGGTAAAATTATATCTGGAAGAAAAACCCCTTTTAAAAGCTGTAGCTATCGATGATAGACTTTCAAAATATCAAGATCATGACATCAAAAGATGGTAGATTTTTTTAAGCGAAAACGGTACGGCACTCGAATACATTTGGGGAATTTATTGAACTCTATTGGAGTATTTTAATCTCAGTTACCAAAAAATTAGATGCATCAAAACAACATGTAAATCAACAAAATTATTTTATTTATTTTTTAATCCAGTTAATGTAAAATTTTGCTTGACAAGACGTGAAGATATATCTGGAACAATAACATAACCCTTTTTGAAAGCTTGAACTATTATCGTTGATAGACTATCAAGACATCCAGCTCAGTCCATCAAAAAATGACGATCATGATATCAGAATCAGTCCGTAAAAATAAAGATCTAGAGATAAAGATCAAAAAAACATCAAAACAGGAGGGATCAAGACATGAGAATCAAAATATCGAGATCAGTCCATCATAGATTAACACCGGTCTCAAAGAGAAAGAGATCAATCCCTCAAAAAGCAGTCCCTGGGAAGATTTGCTCATCATTCTATCAAGATCAGTCTGCAAAGGTCAGTCCATCAAAACATCAAAAAATGAATATCAAGAGAGAAAGAATCAATACAGAAAGGACTAAGACATCGAAAGATGAATATCAAGTCATCAAAGAAAAGACATCAAGATCAGTCTCAACAGGTGTTAGCCATATTGATGTTGCTTAAATGCATTTGGGAGATTAATTGAATTCTATCAACGTATTTTAATTTTGGATACTGAAAAATTAAATACATCAAAAAACCATATAAATCATTAAATATTTATTCTTCTTTTCAATTTCAATTGATTCAAGACTTTGATCTGAAAGAGGTAAGAATATATATGTAGCAAGAATAAAGCCCTTTTAAAAGCTCTAACTATTGTGGATAAACTATCAAAACATCAAGATCAGTCCTTCAAAATATCAATCCCTCAAGATCAGTCCATCAAGGCATACAATGAAAGATCAATGCTTCCGCAGATCGAGATCCATCATCCACACATAAATAGACCATATCGAAGATCCGCCATGAGAGAAAAGGAGAAGCTCGCCAAAAAGTCCCACGTCTTCCTATCCACGCTCCTCTTGAGCCATCCCTAGCTTTCCATATTTCTCACTTCTGTGCTGCATGAAGTTGATGGATTCATAAAAGCGGCCATGCTTCAGATTGTACATGCATCCGCGAAAAGTACTTGTCGAGTCTCTGGTGGGTTTCTTCAAACTAAGTCTGGCGCCCAGTAGCAGCAGGCTTGTTGGGTTGAACAATCTCTCCGAATTTTACCTGCTCATGGAGCTCAAACTGTCTGGATCAATTATGTATATTAGACTTGGATGTCTGCAAGCCTCTTGTGCAGTAACCTCTTCTAGAAAGCTTGAAATGTTTGTGAAAGCTGGGGTTATGTAAGAATGCGGTTTGGAATTCTCTGATCATATTTATCCGCATGATGAAATTTTACACATCTTGGTAGATGTCATCGTCATGAGCCTTATATTTAAAGTCTTAGGATTTTCTTTGGTGGACTCAACTATTATTGCAAGAAGCAATCATCTTTAGACCCTGGATAGTGCATTCAGCTGGTATGGTGAAATTCATTCAAGCCTCTATTCCACTAGAGGATGAGATATGAAGATTTTTCAGGATCACGTAGTGTAAACTGTTTTCCTTAAACCTGTAATTTTCAACAAAATTTATCGAATGATTCCTTTAATTTTTATTGATTTAATACACCTAATAACCTTTATAAAATTTATAATCCACTGCACACCCGCCTGAAGTAGATGAGTTGGATCCATTACGTTATTTAAAGGTTATGATGGTACCATAAATAATTTCGAAAATAATGAACTGAATATAAATATTGAAAACACCGACAAACATTAAAACTGATATGAATATAAATTCCGATGCATTGGCATATTGAGAACAGGAATGTTTCGTCGAGCATCATAGATCCAGAATTCCGAAAATCAAAAGTCTGTTGTGGAAAAATTACGATTTTGTTGCCATGAAGAAGGTAGAAAAATGCTGAACATATTTCAATAACATATGGCGCAATGTTCACTAAAAGTATCTTGGAGCTGATGTTTGCTGTTATTTCAGATTCCAAAAGTTGTAGCAAATTTTCAAGCACAGCTGAGGGTTTTGACCCGCAAAGATTACCACCTTTTGCTATTGCTTGCAAAAAGCAAAATTAACTCTACACCGGGATCGATCACACTGCATGGCAGTGACCTATGTCGATCCTTGAGCGACCAATACGATATAGAAATGGTCTTTTCTAAAACACTTATCTAAATCAACTATATCGTATGCTTGTCTCCTGCTTTCAAAAAGAAGATAAGTACTACCCAATCATCAATGTCAGTCAATACACGTGGGACAATTTACTTAAGCTAAACACATATGACAAAGTCCCGATTGAAGATCATTTCGCCCGGTATGGACGATTGTGGTAAACTGCCGAGGTGGTAGAACTAACAGTATTGTATCGCGGACCCTTGGTCGCTCATTATGTAACGGGAGCCAGCTTGAGTTTAGCACCGCAACCAAAACTGGTTGAATGGTGGATAAAATGAACATAGCGCAGCTGAATTAAAGTTTTCTTAGAAGTAGCGAATGGGTCATTAAACAGGAGTCAGCATATCACAAAACTGAGTGAACGGATCTATATTAGCAACTCATGCATGCTCACACCAACACTAATAATCATGTCAGTCCATATCTAGTTGACTGTGCTTAATGTCCAAAACAAGAGAAAAAAAACGATTTGCAAGAGTGAATTAAACCTGCCTCAGCAAACATCGTCACAGGTATGTCATTTTTGACCCAAAGAAATACCAAGCCGAAGTTGTCGAGCCATCCACGTCACGTGACACAAGTCGAACGGCTGGCGCCGTTGATCGTCTTTTTATTCATCCATCTTTCGAAAATGGGGTCAAGGAAGAAAATTACTAAGCCATATAACTCAACCAGTGCTGGGCATGGGACTTCATCGCCCTGCGTGCACCCTGTATCCCGGAAATCGCCGAGGCTCACCAAGACTCGCCGCGACTGTCAAATAACATACGATGTCTCCTAATAACCTTCCTTGGTCTCGGTTTGGACGGACCCCACAATGCCCGAAAAACTCTACATCTCCTACAACATCGTGCACAAACTATGCCAGAAGGCCGCCCAAGAAATCAAGGCGTCCGGCATGAAGGTTGACCTTATCATTGCCATTGGAGGCGGTGGGTTCATTCCGGCCAGGATTCTCCGCTCGTTTCTCAAAGACGGGTCGAAAAACATCCCAATTCAGGCAGTTGGATTGTCGCTTTACGAGCAGATGGGCAACACGACAGAAGAAATGATCGGCAAGGAGGTTGTGCGAACACAATGGATCGATTTCGGCAACTTGAGCCAGCACTTGGACACGCTTATTGGGAAAAACATCATTATTGTGGACGAGGTCGATGACACGAGAACCACGCTTCATTATGCCGTGAGCGAGTTGCAGCGCGACGTGGCGCGGGTGGAGAAGGAGCTTGCCCGAGATGGCGAGACCACGAACATGTCTGTTTTTGTGCTCCACAACAAGAAAAAGCCGAAGCGGGCCGAGCTCCCACAGGCCATGCTTGATTCAGGCCGCTATTTTGTGGGCGAAAACGTAGACGATGTGTGGATCGCCTATCCGTGGGATGCCCAGGATATCGATGAGCACACCGAGGCAGCAAAGAGACAGGGCAACTATTGAAAGAGCTGGTGAAGACTGGTGGAATCTAGATTTGTAGGTAATGAAGATACTTGAGATGGACGCGTTGTTGCTGTAGATTTCTGCCGGGGTGTCTGGGAGGGCTAGAATGAAGAGATTGGCCTGGTTCTTTCTAATGGTGTCGAGGATGGATGTGATGGCTGGGGATATAGCATATCTAGATGACATGACCTTGACGAACTAAGAAAGAGTCAGATTTTTGTCGACTGGACCACGGATCGGAGTATATACTCGCGGTTAAAAGCTAGCTGAGAGATGATGATGAGTCGAGATATACTGCCCAGGATATAAACAGGAATATTCACTAGCTGCTACATCAAACAGGCGATGAAGCAAGGAGACAATGCCCTTTCCCATCTAGTGAACTTAAATATGTTTGCGTCAGCCGACCACGTCACAATTCCAAGTCTGGGCTCCTGCGCCAGATTCTCTGTTGCTGGGGCTGCCAGTATTGTCTTTTTTTCCCTCTACTTATTTAGTTTACAAAGGTTCTTTCGGAAACAAAAGGCTTGATTCTGAAACATATTGTGCAATCATTGGGTAATCAGACAAAGTCAAAAGGTTTGGGAAATGCCGCTTCCCTCGCACGTGTTAAAGAATAACTTCATTTGGGTCTACAAACATATGTTTATCCAGAACGGACAGATTTGTTGTTGGAAGCTATTTACTTCTATGGGTATGTGACATATTTAGGGTTGGATATGTTTTCTAATAGGTGTAATGATTCGTTCCCATATTAGTACATGGAAACACTGAATCGAAAACGGTCTTTTCCAAGGAGTATAATCTCAGCATGGCTTACATAAATGAAACCTCAACCCCCATGGAAGCCAATGGAATGATCAAGATATTCAGGTTCCAAACCTGCAATAAACACGATTTATCATAACATAGAAGAACACTTCATCATGATCGTGAGAATTGAAGTTTGAAGTAAAACGATCAATATCTCACAATTCCTCCGAAGGTTTTTTTAAACCAGAGAAAAGTTCCAGTGGAAAGACAACTCATGAGAAGGAATACATAGTGAAGATGAAGTAGTGAGTGATGAATCCCATAAGAAGCCTGTGATGAAAGGTTTTGAAAACTTAGGTAAAGAAGAGTAAAAACTGAATGGGCTTCCAACAGAGGAGAACGCAATACCCACATCGACGCAACACTTGCTTTATCGCCTAAGATAAAAAAGATTGCAGCACCACAATTTCGCATATGGTCTCCCACTACACTACTCAGTGTGGCCCTATGCAGCTTAACTAACGTTGATCGGACGGGAAACAGTGCTTCCTGCATGGTATGGCCGCAACCGATATATTCGTTTGATTGTAATTCAGTTAGGCTAAAAGTAATATTATTTTGTCATCGTCAACTGTTTAAAACTAAATAAATTACAATACTTTATATATTAAATTCTTACCTCAATCGCTGTCAGATCAATCAAGGCCTGTATGGCTCGACTACTATATATTCGACTAACGGGATCCTTAAGTCCGCTACAACCAGCCGAGTTGAAGCGACTACTACAGGAGACCTATCCTAGGAGTCGATGACGTAATATCCAATACGTAAACAGATACGTGCCATGAGGACTGTCCAGGCCGTGACTAACGGAAGGGGACGGGCCGAGCTAAGACACTTGGTACGTAGCTGGGAGCTGTTTAAAGGTTTTTTATATATATTCGTTATATAGTTTTGCCCCTTTAATCAGATGAATCTACCAAAAAAAAGGAACCTAATCCTAGGAATGGATGACGTAATGTCCAAACCGTAAACTATTTTATTCAAGTGGTTGACCTTGCTTATGAGCAGAAGTATTTTATCCTCTTTGATAGATTTCGTGAATTGGTGCTCGCGCTTTTTACCTGAACCTTGTGCGATCTTTTATAGGTTTTTTCTTTATAGTTTTTTGTTAGTGGTGGGGTTTTACATCTCTCCAGTGACACCCTATATCTACCAAAAAAAATATGATATTTTTTGTTTTTTTTTTTAAAAAAAAACGATACTTGTCAAGAGGGCCACCCAGGTCATGACTAACGGAAGAGACTTCACGCCTGGTTTATTAAAACTGAGAATTAATGAGGTGGCCCAAGAAAAACATGCGTCACCCAAACTGAATTTAAACCAGTTATTGGATGATATCATACATTTATTAAGTCAATCTATAGATACTATAATGGTAATCAAGTCTTATCTCATGCTTTATCTTCTCGAACTAGGTAATTATTGGGAGTTGTTTAGAGTTTACATATAATTGGTGGCATTCACTCCGCAGCGAAATATTAATATCCACAGAAAAAAAGGTCTTTGCCCTCAAGGTTCAAACTTACATAATATCATGGTACTCATATAGCTGTACGACTAGGGCCTTCAAAAATAAAATGTTGTGTCATCCTGTTGCTTGCCTTGATCAAAATTAAAAAAAGGAAAAGATAGATACTGATGCTAGGAATTGATGTCAATTTTCTCAAAGCCATCAGATGAGATCTAAGTGTTTTTTTCCACAGTGTGAGTGGGGTACTCAAACTTTGAAGAGCAAGATTGGCTTGAAAGCACCCATGAACTCGAAGGAAAGACTTCCTACTGGACACATCACTCGAGGATCTACGGAATCATGGCTGGTTTATCAAAACAGTAAAGAAGGTTTACACATACAGGCTCAAAGAGGCGGAGATCACATCTCTAGCCCCTCCATTGCAGTAAATTTCTTTGGTTTTCCGCTTGTTTGTTTCTAATTTTCTTTATATTTTTCTCCCAGTTTTGTCAAGTTTTGTCAAATCAAACCCTTAATGCTTTTATCACTGGAAATTTCTTATATTCTTTTGATCGCAAAATACAGCTATTACTCGAGTAAGGGAAAGACCTTTTCGTGCTTTGGTCCTCATTTACTGCTGATTTATTTTTTATATTGGCTCTTTGGCCCGTTGTATCTTCGTTCTTTTTCTATGTTTTATTGTTTTCCATACATGATCATTTGCTTTTTTTTTTCTTTGCAAACGATCATGATGTTAAAATTTGTTTGAGTTTTGCAACAAAGCATCAAATCTTGAGAGGGGTCAACAAGCTATAAGCTATATCGAAACACATAACAGCTCCTTTACGACCACATACCTAAAACTATATACTCTACAGAAAAAATATTAATTGATTGTACTGTTATATCGAGTAGATCAATTCATCAACAACCTGCGAAAGAAAACTGCGACATCTTATCAAAGAAATGATCGAGGCCCCTCCCTGCTTAACATAACATCACTTCCTATAATAACTGTTTTTTTCTGTTTCCTAACTCCCGTCATCGGCACATATGAGATGTTTGCCCAAGAGTGCCCATCACCAGTCTCTGCAGTGTCTGGCCACTCTCTCTTTTAATGGAGCTCATAGACTTTCTTCGCAGTTTGACTAACCAATTTAAGTTGTGCAAATTTTCACGTGAGCGGTCTGTAGGTGCTAAACTTTCTCTTAGACTCGTCCCTTTGGTGAACCCAATCTTTCGCCATATACGTTGAACCGCTTACACTCATCACAGATGTGAATATAAATTTGTCCCAGATTTACCCTCTGAAGGAATATATGACAATAAACGTGTGAGATTTCAGGTGTTGTGTTGTTAGTGGAAACATATGACCCAAAATTAAACAAATGAATGGCGGTAAAATCCTTCATTGCCCTCCATTCATATTTGTACACTGTCTTCCCAAATTTCGACCATCTTGCCTCGACCTTCACTTCCAGAAAAACTGTGAAATACTTTTCTGGTATAATCGGCCGTAATCCCTCTTGTTTCTTTCTGTCTTGAAGTTCGTTACCTGTAATAACTTGAACTTGTTAAATGGTGAAAAAAACTTTCCTGGGGTTCCTACCCTGACTCCCGGCGTAGTGACGTGATCTTCCGATATTGAGCGTCTAGGAAGAGACCTACCTAATGCTTGTGATCTTAAAGCCGTCTTCTTCTATACAATAACATACTGTTTTTTGCTGACAGTAAGATTCCAGCTTAGATTTCCGTAGAATCGATTGTTGCGAGTGAATAAGGAGTTCACTCATGAAAGGCTTCCTATCCAATTGACACTCGTACGTTTGTTCTTCATACTGCTCTTTATCATATGACGAAACATTTTTACCCTTAAGTGATCATATCAAACTCTTGCCGAAATTGCCGCAGATCTTCCATGCCCCATGACCTTTTAATTGCGTTTTCATTTCAAGGACCCCATATCCCCACTTTGGAGTCGAGCAAGCATTTTATGCGTGGGTTCCAGCGCATGCATTGAATAAGATCAGTGTAGCTTATGACTTGTCTTTCGAGAAACATTTTGCCAGTCTTTTGGGGCTTCGATTATTGCTATATGTCCGAAATAGTAGGTTGAGTGTTACACTTGAGAAAAATGTTCACATTAATAGTCGTGGCCCTTTTTTAAGTGAGTTGTCTAGAGTGAGAAGGGCGATTAGTATAATACACTAAGTACTATCCGGAGAGCATTGGGAGAAACATTATGTCTCATTTTATCATGGCTCCTGATGTCACTTGTCATATTTCCAGCACATCGTATGATTAAACAAAAGCTGTGCTCCTATTCAAAATGACTTTAGTTGTTCCGAGACCGCTCATGAGTAATCTATGCAAATAAAATTCATCCTCGGCCACTTTGGAGTCAGTGCGGCAACTTCTGAGTATTAGCATCTACTAAACTTGATTGAGTCATCAACTAAACGTATATATTTTAATATCCCCAACCGAATATCATACTAGTATTATCAAACCTATCAAAAAAGTAGTAAGACGTATGTATAGATCTCAACTTATTTTACTCAAAATAAATAAATGCTGGTACAACACAGGATCACCTTAGCTTTAACTCCATGCACACCTGTGCTAAAATGCCCATCCATTGATGTTAAATTTTTTGTACGAATAGATATTTAAGTACAGTCCTGTACATTTACCACCATTTGATTCCTCGAGTCAATTTTATTCGGCTCAACTTCTTACCACTGCTAAAATCTATCCATCTTTGTGGCTTTAATATTTACAGACCTTCTAAACCAAATTATACTCCGTCACTTGAAAAATATTTAGCCTATGTATGGTACATTAGGAACGACTCTACTATAATATTTCTGTCTCTTGAAATTGGCATATGTGAGAACTGGTTTACGTTCTAAAATTCACTGGGAAGTATGACTTCTCAAACTTGAAATAGAAGCAGCAGGTCTTTTTTCAATGTTATCAAATTTATAATTTTACCTATGCTGTAAGGCCTATACTTTGCAATAAATGCTGCAGGGTCTTCGGATTGATATAATCTTAATACTGTAATGCCTATACTTTACATTTGCAATTTCCGACTCCCGAAAGGTCTTTGCATTGATAAAACTTTCAATACTTCAGGGTCTTCTCATGGGTGTAATTTCCGATACCGTAGAGCCTATACTTTGCAATCTTCGAATGCTTTGGGTCTTCGCATTGCTTTAATTTCCAAATCTTGTATGATCTTCCCACCAATATAGCCTCCAAATGCTTCATGGTCTTCGCACTAATGTAATTTCCAATACTGTAAGGTCTTTACTTTGCAGCTTTCAAGATGCTGTGGTGTCTTTGCACTGTTATACTTTTCGATATTGTAGAGTCCAAGTTCGGACTGATCTCATTTCCAATACTATAAGGTCTTTGCATTGATTTACTTTCTTTCTAAACATTTTAGAATCTTCCCATCAATATAACTTCCCATACTTTGCAATTCCCAACACAGCAGAGTCTTTGAACTGCTATAATTTCTAATTCTGTGGGGTCTACACTTTGCAATTTTCAGGTGCTATGAAGTCATTGCATTGATCTATTTCTCCAACTGGTGCAGGGTATTGCTTTCCAATAATATAACTCCCAAATGCCGAAGGGTTTACTTTGCAAATTTTGAGACGCTGTTGGGTGTTTATACTGATCCACTCGCCAATGCTGTGGGGTCTTCACACTGATGTAATTTCGCATTGATGT